GGGGAGCCGCTGGGAAGGAGCGGGACTCCAGGACCGCTGCCGTTCCCGGCTTTCCCCGCCTCCGACACGCAGGTGTGTGGCCGGTCCCTGGGTCGCGTTCCCCTGGAACAGGGATCACGGAGTCGTTGGGGTGGGAAGGGACCTCTGGAGGTCCAGGGCAGGGTCCCCTGGAGCAGGTGACACAGGAGCGTCTCCAGGTGGGTGGGACGGGTGATGGGAAGTCAGAGTTTGGAGCTCGGGCCTCCCTGTCACTCCCTGCTTTGGGGTGGCCGCATCCCACCTTCTCACCGAAGTAGCTTGAACTTGGGAGTTACTTGCAGTAGGACCCTGTGGGAGACCCCCTGGGCCACGTGTAGCCACAGTGCCTTCGGGCTGAGTGTGTGTGCACACCTCAGTGACGTGTCCACCCCACTGAAACAGCTGCTCTGTAGGTTTGTTTCTTCAGCATCACAGGCTCCTGGTTTGTCAAACACGTCTGTTCCTGGAGCAGCAATTCACCTTGCAGGAAACTACCTGCCTGACTGTTGGGTTGGGCAATAATTAACCTTCTTTCTGCATTGTCTCATCATAATTATATGATGTTTGCTTGCTGACTGAGACTTTGGAATTTCTTCCAAATATACATCAGAAATGTAGGTTGCAGAATCTTTGCAGGGAAAGCTGGGAGAACTCAAATTAACAGCTGATTAGTAAATATGGTACAGAGGAGGAGGCAGATCTGTAAGAACGACAATGTGAGTGTATGTTTAACATTTGATGCCATTCCAGTCACTTGATACACCATTTATTGTAGAAATAACACATTATTGGTTCTGTTTAAAAGTTGAATAAGTAGGCAGAGACATTGCACTTATGGTAGGGGTATATACATAAAAAGATCCTTTTAAAACTTAACATTTAACATAGATTCTGTGGAAATCCATCACAACAAATTTGCTTGTAGGAAGGTTTGTTAATTTGAAGTCATTAAGCAGTATTTTAAAACTGTAGAAATAAGATTTGGAATGGTTTCTCCAGGAGATCTCATTGATTTTTTTATTTGAGTACAGCCAGCAAATGGCATGGATGATTCTGCTTTAATAAAACCAATTCTGCTATTTGAAGACTTTTTAATCTTTTTAGTTTTTTGTACCTTCTTAGCTGAAAAGCACTTTAGAAAGAGAGAGCACACAGAACACGTGCAAACCGTCTCTAGGAAGTCACAGGAACAGCTGTGGTTTTTTAGGGATGTTGCTGTTTTGAATATCTGATAAGAATTTTGTCCTTCTCCTTCAGCTTAACCCAAATGTAAGTGTATTTCAGAGAAAATATGTGAATGAAGTGAAGAAATGTGAAGAGATGGAAAGAATACTTGGTGAGCTTTATTTTCATATCTGACCTTTCTCAGCCCTGACTTTATTAAAATTAACATTATTAGAGTAGAACTACAGTGAAGGTTTCAGCTACCAGCTTATGTGGTCTGACTGCTGTAGACTCATATAGAGTTTTCATATGTATGAAAAAATAGACATCCATACACTCATCTCTTGAGTCTTTATGTAGACTTTTGGAGCTGGAGATGACTTCTGTGGTTTTGTGAGCTGTGAAATTCACTTACACTAAATATAGGTCAGTGTTCTTTTGAGCTCAGAGGCGAAGAAGATTTGCTAATGTTTTGCTGATAAATAATTGAGACCATTTCAGTATTGATTGCTTAAAACTCTGCTAGGAAAATGGAAGCTTTACTCTGGATATTTCCTTGACTGTAAGATATTCCCCGTTTTTTTCATGTTGTGTAACTCAATACTGTTGATCTTCCAAGCACCCTTATTAGTAATTATGTTATCAGTAGTTGTGTTCTCATGGTAGTTAATGAACAGGGAGTTTGCAGAGCGTTACAGCCAAGATGCAGATTTCCTCAGTGTATCCTGGGGAAAAGTTACCATTGAGGGATTCCTTTTGTTGGAATCTCTCACCAGAGGCACGTGCTGGTCATGCCACACCATGCCAGCAGCTGTTTTGGCAGTCTCCCTCTCCAGTGGGAGTTGCACGTGTGTCAAAGTTCCTTAAGCCTCCTTCTTTGAACACTTTTTATCCAAACATGGGGCAAGGAGCAGAATGGCCATTTCTGGCAGAAAGTGAAGTGATCGTGTGATAGAAACTGATGTGCAGCAACTAAGAGGTTCTAGGAAATATTAAAGCTTCTTACAAAGTACTTGTGGTTGGGAGATTTTCATCGCAGGCCTCTGAAGTTCACTCACTTGTGCAAACTTCCAAGGCGGGAATGTTCGGTGTGTTTTATCCCTTATGCTCTGTCAGTCCCTCTTTTTTGAAGATTAGTGTGTGTTGTTGCTAAAATGACTGAATAAAATAGCCAGGGCCTGGTGCTGCAGAGTGATCAGTGCCAGCAAGATCAGCTGAAGGTCAACTCTGCAGCATTGTAGGAAGTCTAAGGCAATGCAGTTTCCTTTCTGATTCTGTTTTATTTCTCACTCCAGGATATTTAGTACAAGAAATTAAAAAAGCAGGTATTTCACTCCCTGAAGGAGATGTTGCTCCTCCTGCTCCCTTGCTGAAGCACATTTTAGAAATCCAGGTAACTTTTCCACTAAACAGATGCCGAAGTGTAGGGTATTGGAACTTAATTGCAGACTTAATTACTTGCCCTTTTATTAGGACTTCAGTTGTAGGGGTGTGGTGGGGGAGACAGAAGCATTCGCTTTCCTTTTTGTCTGATTGTTTTCCTTCCTGCCAGTGTCACTTCAAAGCCTGCCAGTGAGGTTTTGATATTAACACAAAATCCCTGTGAAGGGTCAAAGCCAACTCCTGGGGTGTGCAGCCATCCATTGGATTGCATGGAGTGGCATATTACACTGTTCCAGGCAAAATGTTGTCTTTAGATGTAATCCCTCGGCCTCATTTATTGCTTTGGGACTCACTGTGACTCTTTGTGCATCCGAAATTTCCAGGTGTGTGGGAGTTTTATATGCCCAAGGCTCTGCAGGTTCCAGTGCTGGTTGCCCAGCAGAACATGGTGCTGGTTTCTCTGAATTCTTTGTCTTGTGTTTTGTTAGAAAAGAAGCTTGTAAAACACAGATATAATTTTGAATAACATTCTGTTTTGCTGTAATTCTATTAAAGGAATAAATGGGTGTCTTCCACTCTGTGCTATCTGCAGTTCTAATTCTGCATTACTTGGACACAAATTAAGGGCAGAACAGACTTAAGAGATGCCAGTGGAGGATCAAGTGTACTCAATACAAAGCACTCTTTGGCAGACGAGGGATAAGACCTGTGGAGCCTGTTAATTAAGAAATTGGGAAACTCCCATCATTGTGGCAAATAACATGTGCTGAAAATGAATTCTACTCTGTTTTCCAAAATTGTGTAACTGATTCCATGTCTTTTTTCCCCCCTCTGTGCCTTAGGAACAGCTGCAGAAGCTGGAGACAGAATTGAGGGAAGTAACTAAAAACAAAGAAAAACTGCGGAAAAACCTGCTTGAGCTGACAGAATACAAGTACATGTTGAAGGTCACACAGAGCATTGTCAGGAGAACATCTGAGGTACTGCTGGGGGGTTTGCCAGGGGCCGTGTGTTGTGGGGCATTTTTGGCTCACCTTGTTAGTGGTTGTAGTTCAGTGCACGACTTGGTGTTGGGCTTTGCAGCCCTGGACATTTTTCGTGATGGTTTGTGCCATGCTGGGCTCGTGTACAGGGCAAAATGC